AAAGTATGCTTTTGTTGTTGTTGTTGTTATGTAATGGCAGATGTTGGGCACCATTTAATGCTGCTGGTCTTGATCTGGCATCTAGAAGGGTACAAGAAACCTGGAGAAGGAGCTATGTGTAAATTAAATAAGAGTCCAGAGATGAAACATAATTTTGAAAGGGGGGGCGGGGAGACAGAGGAGCTTGTCTGAAGAAACCAAGTTCTCCTTGTCTCAGGACCCTTTGCTTTTTATTGACACAAATTGTCCTAAGGCAAAGTGGAGATATACACTTCATAGGGTAGGGTTTCCTACAGCAGCATTGTCAGGTTGGGGAATTGCCTCCAGCTGTTCAAGTGCTTGGCCAACAGGAGGCAATAACATGAAGATTAAGATGCCCTGAGCTATCTGGCAGTAAACAATCAATTTATGTATTCTTTTCAGGTTTGGGGAAATGCCTTTTAGCCATTCCCAGATGAATCAGCCCTTGCTGACATGCTGGAATTGGCCTCAGGCAGTTATGGAGAACTAGACCAAAAACATTTGGGCATCATTGCCCTATACTAGTGTTAGTTTAAGTAAACATTCATTCTATGAAAGAGATGAAAGGATATAAATAATAAAGGGTAATATTTCTTAATCAAATAACTTGGTTTAGAAGTGTTTTAAGAGTAACAAATTTTTCATGCCATTGATGGCATTAATGGGTTATGAGTTAATTAAAATCTATTTTCTTTCCTTTCATGATTTTATTTTAAAGAGCTACAAAGAGATGCATAGTTGGATTCAAAGTTAGCTGTTTCATTACAATCTGCAAAGGAACAAATGCTGGATACCTCCCAGTTATAGCTGAGGAGAAAAAAAAGAGCAAAAATTAAATATTTGTTATTATCTGGCTTAGAAAGACACCAAACATATTTAAGGATTTAGCAGTTATATAACACATGGGCAAGGCATATGCCTTGATACTTTTCAAAATATTTAAACACCCACATTTAATTTTTATATTAATAATAGGATAATAGGATAATTTCACATACATATTACTTGAAAGAAACATTAACTAGTAAAAACTGTCAATTGAGTAGTAGCCTAATATGCAGGGAATCAGGCTAAAATAGCCTACTATGTGACTTCAGGCAAAATTATGAGTTATACATTAGATATTTTTTGCATGTTTTTTGTTAAGAAATGTAGGCCAGTTAAGGATAGATACTAAGTTTAATCAAGTTGTAGTTGAAAAATTGAAAACTGATTATCTTGGGGTCAACTCCAGCCTGAAAATGTGTTTGTTTCACCTGCACAATATTTAAAATCTATTAATTTCTTATTTTTTAAGTGAGGTTTGTGTATAAAAGTTTGTATTTAAGACTTCTGTAAAAAACTCAGAGACATGGCAGAATTGAGCCAGCAGTCCTATGGGTCATTAACTGAAACCTAGAACCTGAATAGCTCTTTTTTGGGTGGGTAATTTGTCATCTTCTCCACTAATCTCTATTTTAATCCTGATACCAAACCTAAGTGCCAGGTAACAATCGTCAAACCATCTTTTTACTTTGGAAAGAAAGGAAGGAAGGAAGGAAGGAAGGAAGGAAGGAAGGAAGGAAGGAAGGAAGGAAGGAAGGAAGGAAGGAAGGAAGGAAGGAAGGAAGGAAGGAAACCCAGACTGCTAAATCCTTTAGGTACATGGGTTAATTTTCAGTTTTCTACTCTAATGAGCAGACTAAAGAATTTAGTGCCATCAAAGTCTGCTACAAGCTTATTAGTCTGATTCTAGAGGTAAAAATGTTTTCCTCAGAATAGGTTGATAATATATATGCCATTGGAATATCATCATTTTGTGTGTACCTCCAACACCTTGAAACATGGTGTTCCTATTCCTACTTTTCTGGCTCTCACTGATATCTGCTTATCCCTAAAGCAGTGTCCCTTTGAATCTTTCCTTTGAGGGCAATATCCCCTGCTCTCTTCATTCAAATCCTCCGGCACCAAATCCCAGAACAGAAAAAAATGTATTTGCACTTTAGTAATGACCTTCACAATAAACGTTCACATTGCCAATTTGACAAACCCAACAGTAAAATAACTTTAAGTTCAAAGCCTACAGAAAAATGTTGCCTTCTAAACATAAGAGAGTGACAACGGTAAACATTTTTGAGCCTTTAGTGAGTTACAAGCGGTTTCCCAAGTGCCTTAAAACAGACAACGGGGTGGTGAGGGGAGGGCCTGGGTTAGGGGGAGGGGGCGAGAGGGTAAGAGGGGTAGAATAGGAGAGAGGTGGGAGAAAAAGGACTTATGTAATACTTTCAACAGCAAAGATTAAAAAATTTAAATAGTGAACAGGTTTTTAAAAAGGTGCAATGGAAAAGTCAGGCACAATAGTTTGCATGAAACATCCATGTCATTAAGATATGGTTTGTGTGAAGGGATAGAATAATCTGGAGAAAGGAGTCAGTTCTTATTTTCCAAAACAATTCACTAATAGAATTGAAGCAGACATATTAGTTGTCTCTGGGCTAAGCCTCTTACTGTAAAGATGAGGTGACTGAGAATCAGGGAGGTGAAATGCTTTGTTGACAATCACTTATTCTTGCTGAAACCAACCACCTGACTTCCAGCCTATGTGCCTTATGCTACAGAGATTCTAATGTGAGGGAAGTTGTATAGTGTAATCCTCTTTCTATTGATAGATAGCATTATGGAAAGAGAGAAGCTCGCATTTCTCCACAAGGTTAGCAGCAAGATTGGCTAACCTTTAACAAAGTATTGATGTCAAAGGGAATACCAGTGGCTTTGAAAAATTATAGTAACAAATATAATTTACTTTCATCCTCTTACTCTCCTCCTCTGTATTGTAAATGAATGAGAGCTTCGGATTAGTTTATTTTTATTAGGATGTACTTTAATTGAGTAAGAATGGATTAAAGCTTACCTTGGAAAGAAAAAAAAAGAGTTCTCTGTAAATTACCATGATTTTCCCCCTCCAGATAATTCTTCCTCATAGTTAATAGGAGAAAGGGATTGTTTTCTAGGACCTGTAACAGGAACAGATGTGCATTCAAGGCTGGTGCTTTCCTAAACTCTTCAAATAAAAGCTGAAAATTCATATGAATCTCATTAAGTGTAAATGTGCTTGTCTTAAATACACTTTCAGCTGTTACCTTGAAGTTGAAGTAGATCTCTGAGTGCAACTGGTTCACAAGGGCTTGATTGGGGTAACTTAGATGTTAATTTTGATTTTAACATTATAAAAATGTAAAGAAGAATCAACTTCATTTTTAATCGGACCCTTCCCTAGGCCCATGCTGACGGGTTTCTGATATGATCCGTTTATTTGAACATCCATTGCATTCGAAGATGAATGTTCGGCTTTGTTGCTTTGTGATGTTTCTTTTCTGTATTTTTTTTTTAAATCCCCTTATTTGTTTTGTGCTAGTATCATGGTGATACATAATTTCTATGAGTGTCTGCAAGTTAAAGCACACATGTGTCACAAAATCTGACAGTAAATAATTAAAGCATTTAAATAAAAGCGTGTGTGTGCTCTAGTTGTGTGGTTGAACAAATTTGTAGAGCATGATTTTATCCTGATCTGTAATTATAGCTACCAATGACTGCCATGATCCCGAGTCAGAAAAATGTATACACTAAGCATCCATCTGTAGACATGTTCATATTCCTTCATCTGCAGCTCTCAGCATCACATGGGAATTCTGAAACTGCCCTGGCCACTGGGGAGCTTTAAATACCATGGCTGTAGGCTTACAGCAAGGAACAAATTGTTCCAGACGTTTAATTTCCCCTCGCTTATTATTACAAGGTCGCCTAATGATCCACGAAAAGTGTGCAACAGTTTGGAACTTTAATGACAGAACAATTGGTAAATTGAGAGGATTCTTTTTATTTTTTTAAAAAATGTCCTTGGTCCTATGTTGAATAACTTAATGCTTACGAACCAGAAAAGAGTTACTATCATTTCCTTTGAAAAGTATAAATACTCATAGTTTTGGACCATAGTCACCAAGTATATTGTAAATCTATCAGCATGCTCTCTTAATGAGAAATAAAATTTTGCTCTCATTGCTATTCAAGGCTAATCTAAAAAACATAAAAATATTTTAATGTCTATAGCAAAGATGTTACAAAAGGGATGGAAAGTTGTATAGATCCCAGATTGTTAATTTATATCACATTGTTTAAATTAAAAGCAACATTCATGCAAACATTATTTAAAAATTATAAGTGAACATGGCATTGTTTTTTTGTAAGAGTTCATTTATGGGACATTAAACAATTAGGAAAAACTAGTTCAAATTATCTAGAGCTGCTCAAATCTCATTCATTTAAAATGAGATTTGAGCAGCCTCTGCAGAGAATACTAGGTGCCTGTGAAGAAGTTCAAGGCCAAGGAATATATTTCAGATTTGTGATGTCCCCATTTCTCCTTTAGCTAGAGATGTTGTATTTTTGAGCAAGAAAAGAAAGGAAAGGACATTTCAGAAAAAATGCCCATTAGCATCACAAAAACAAATGTGTGGTGTTAACTGTATAGTTGAGGGATATAAATATAGGATAGAGATCCTTAAATGTTAAGCTTTAAAATTTTAAAGAAGGATTTCCCATTTATACTGAACAATGTAGTGCCCCTGCCGACAAGTCATTTTCATTAACACAGAAAAGTGACCAAGAATAGGGTTCTCAAAGAAAAAAAATACTTGAGCAAAAGATAAAACTCTCAAGGCAGTTCTACACTGTATAATTTTCCCAGAACAGGAGGTAATGACACTTATCTGTGCTCAGTCATGAATTACCTTTATGATGTACACCTGAATGATATGATAGCAGGTAGGAGACAACAATTTCTCTGGTACAGATGAGTTTAATTTTTCAGTCTACCCTATCACCAGGCTGGTTTTCTATTTGGGTCTTCAATGCCCTGCATGACAAACACATAGAGCTGATGTATATTATTTTTATTTTTATTTATTTATTTATTTATTTATTTATTTATTTTTTACAGATCCTGCCGCAGGTTTATTTGTACAAACAGCACAGGACGGCAGCAGCGCCACGCAGACGGCAGCCCAGGGGCCCACCAGTCCTTCCATCCTACTGTGGAGCCTTCGTGGGGGCCTGGGCACCTTTGGGAGCCTGAGCTGCAGCTGCACCTGCAGCCTGGGGCTTGGTTTCAGCCTTGGCCTTGGCCTTGACCTTTGGCGAGCAGATCCTGAGCCCCTTGGCAATGCGGGCATGAGCGCGCTTCCCAAGCTTGGGGTGAGCGATGTAGGTAAGTCGACTGAGTTTGCGGCTGCAGCCCTTTGGGATATTGGGCCTGGGCTCCTTGGACTTGGCCAGGGCTTTGATGGCCTCAGTGCGGGCGCTCATGGTCTTGGCGTTGTTTGCCTGCATCTTCTTCAGGCCCTTCTTGTTGTGCTTCTTGGCAAAGCGCATGTTCCTTAGGAACTTGGGGTCTACCCCCCTTAAGAGATTCGTATCTTTGTGACCGGGGTTTCTTGATGCCATTTCTGTGCCATTTCCGGGACTGGTTGTGCGTGGTGTGGTTCTTGGACTTGGCCATCTCTGCACAGAAGGCCGCGGCTGCCGAAGCGCCAGGGACCAGAAGAGCGCTGATGTATATTATTATTACTCCTACTAATACTGAAAATATATGATGAGTCCCCTGCTCACTTCCCCCTCCCCCCCAAAAAAACCCCACAAAAATATTTTTATTAAACTCCAGAAAACAAAGTGTTTGGAAGGTTTCATTTTTTTAAATGTTTATTCCAAAACTGGCAGGTCATTTGGTCAAGCTCATAAATCACTGATGCAGAAGAAGCACAAAATAGAAATCAGGCTCCTGGTCTATCAACTCTAGATATCACTCCAGTGCAACTGAAATATGTTTTGCATATCATTCTGTTTCAAGATAATGAATTGTTATAGAAATTAAACTCTGGCTGTGCCTTGATTACTTGAGAGTCTCAAAACTTGGTCAAATGAGTTATTTCTGGAAATTATTAGTTTAAAATCAACACATGTCAAATAGTGAGGAATGAAATTAAAGCACAGAGCTCACATTGATTTATAGGCATCGTGCTATTTCTCATTCATAACCCCTGTCCTCTAGGAAAATTATTCTGTTGTAGAGCATGCTTAAATCCAGGTGGTTGCAAAGAGTATTTCCATTCTTATTTAAATAAAATAGATTCCTCATCTTAAAGCAGGAGAAGTAAATTTTATAATCCACCATCATATCCTGCTAATCAAATGAAGACATATATATGGCGAGTTTGGCCTGTCAAATGCAGATAATTCTCTGGAATTGGGAAGATCAACCCCAGGAGCATTTGAGGGTCTTCCTAAATTAGAAAATCAAAATAGTTCATCAACTTTGTGGCCAAAAAAGAGAATCCTTTAAGGAACAAATATTTTTTGCAATATTCTCATTTCACTTTCTTCTAGCACTGAATGTTCACAGAAAATATAATATTGTATTTGTATTACTTTATTTGTAATACTGTGTCCTACTTTTAAATGTTCTTTAGGTCAGAAGGGTAAATTATGGTAAATTTCCCAGTTATGTTGACATATTCATCAGGCTTTTAAAGTAGACCTAGAAAAAAGAATGTTTAACAACTCCATGAAATCTAAAAAAATTGAAAACAAACAAGCACACAAAAATTTTTGAAAAAATAATTCTTATTTCCCTCTAATCCTTAATATTGTACTTTAAGAAATAAGACATATATAGAACCTATGGAATAACTATGTCATTTTTTTCCTAAAAAATTGTCTGAGTTCAATAACTAAGAAATTACAATAATAGCAGGTCAGAAAAAGAGATATTTCAGGAAAAAAACATAATCATATTCCCTATTTACTACCTCTAAATTTTTGGAACACCATTCCTGGATTTGCTGGTTACTGAGATTTAGTTCCCCAGAAGAATTAAATGTATGCTAAAATTCTGTATCGTGTAGTGGGTATATTTAAAATTAGTAATATTGTATAAATATCAATTTATTTCCTATTCTTTGTTGCTGAATTATAAATAATTAATCCTGCCCCCTCCCTTTTTTTAACCAACTCTAAGTAATCATTGTATGAAAACTCAATAGATAACATTAAATCAAAAGGTAAAGGTGATTCCAGTTTCATCTTCAAGAATTCATGAAATCTAGATAGAATCATGGAAAAATGAGAATACTGTGCAAAGTAATCTACTTAGTGCAAGAGGACTAATGGATATTTCCAGATATTTATATTCTCAAGGTCACAAAGAATTCACTAATTAATTCTCCAAACTATTAGTAAATTCTCAAAAGGAAAAAAATGCTAGGTAAAGTCATATAAATTTATTTAAAATTGAGTTTAAAAAATAATTACAATGGGCAAAATATCCCTTTACAATGAATAAAGCAAGCCTCACCAAAAATAGATTGAACCTGCATTGAACCTAGTGAGATAATCTGAGCACCATCCAATGGCAACTATTTAGCATTCTTACCATAAATGTTTAATTTGAATTAAATCATGAAACAGATATAAATATTATATCACAAAAGAAGTTGATATAGATTATCCAGTTTTAGTTTTATAGGAGATTAAAAGAAGACAGAGCACTATTTTTAGATACAAAGGGAGAGCTTTCACAGTTAACTATAACATGATCCTTGATTGAATCCTGGCTCAACACAACAACAAATCAACCCTAATGGCATTAGTCCACTTGTTAATAAATGTGCATAATTCTGTTTTATCAATTTAAAAATCTTTTAGCATTATAATTATGCAGTTATCATAATTATATAGAAAATATCCTCAGGCATTTTCTTTTATTTCTAATTTTTAGGGCCATACAGAATGGTATTTAGAGTCATAGTTAATGCAACTCACTTAAAAATGGTCCAATAAAAATGTGTGTGTGTATTAAGAGAGACTAAGTGGTAAAATATTGATAATTAGTAGATTAATCTAGGTGGGTGTTTGTATTATACATTTCTTTCAACTTTGCTGTTGGTTTGAAATGTAATCTAAACAGAATGTTTGGGGAGAGGGAAATATTTTTCATTGTAAATTATGGGGTCAACTCACCTTTAAAATCCAAATATTTTTATCAAGGAAGTTTTACTGAGCATATACACTTTCTGAGCAATGTCTTCACTGTCAACTGTGAGTTCTAATTAATGCCATTTGTTGAGATGGAATAACCTACAATCGGTTCTTGGAATGGACAAGTTCATTGTGATTATTTCATCTCAAATGTAAAGCTCTGGACAATGCAGAAATAATCTTCTCCACTATAACATCCTACATTTCTCAAGGGTGTTTGTCTGCAATTTTATGTTTGAATCATTATTAAGGATGTAATCTGTTCTGTAGTATACCTTAGGTTAAAAATGATTTCTACTTACGTACTGATTTCGCAAAGTAACACATTTATTTAATACTAGTATGTGTTGGGCTATAACTGAAGACATGGGTGTAGAAACAGCCAGATCTTATCTGCTACCCTCACAAAGCTCATAGTCTATCCAGTGGGTAGATGCCTGAAAATATTAACTTTGATGGGAAGGACACATAGAAATACCCATAAAATATATGGAGAGTTTATATGTTGGTAATAAGCAACATTGAATTAATAAATATTTTAAGAATGTTAAAAAGCACAACATAGTGTGACATTATAAAGAGTGACCATCCAAAGGAGAAGAAGCAACAGAGAGCATAAGTTGTGGAAGTGAAGATGCTAGAGGAATGTAATTCTCCTCAGGAAAGAATACTGAACAATGTGCAAAGGTCTAACCCATGAGCAGATCCAAGTGAGAGTGCTGTGCCTAGTATGTACAAGTTGTCCATGGTTGTTTCCTGAATGAGTAATGGCCCTATAAAAGAATATAAGACAATCACACACCATCACTCTCAGTTATTCTTCATGTTTTTATTCACAAGCCATACTGATAGCTATTAGTGTGAGGATTGTTTTGATTTCGAAGAGGAAAATAAGCATGGAGAGTTTTTACTGTACCTGCCATCAACTCTAGCTGGGCTCTGCCAGAAGGCTTTCATGTGCATTCTTTGGTGAGGGAGCATTTCAGAGAGAATAATAACATCTGCATCAAAACAAAATGGCTGTTACTTTTCTCATCTCCCTCTAGCATATTGCTTTTACTGCTTGTTTGCACAAAACTTTCTGGTGTTCAGATAAATAATCAATACAAGATGCATTTTTATTTTGGAGTGGAATATCAGATTTTTTTTCCCCTTTGGTTTTGAATTAACAGAAGAGCCTTGAGGAATAGATATTGAAGTTTTGTTAAACTGGCACTGCAGTTCTGTCAAGAGTTATTCGGGTTACTGGAATGGGCAAAGTAATTAGAAATAAAGGATATAAAACACAACACATCTCGTCTAAAGTAGTTTCACAAGGAAAACAATGGAAATGCTGTTGGATATTGCTAGCACTAGATTTTATGCTCACTAGAAAGGGAATTCTGTAAACGTAATTGAATTGCCATTCTAAGCTGATATTTTTGAATTCTGTTGCAATCAGGAAATGGTCTTCTCCAATGACTGTAACATTTCAGGATGATATCTGAATCATTGGCTTTTTCAATGATGAGCATTTAAAAAAATCCATTTCCCACTAATTGTATTTTAATAATAGGAGAGCATCAGACAATAGTCATAGAATCTTGTAGATAAAAGATTCTGAAAAAGATTCTTATTTTTCAGATAAACAAGATGATGAATACCAAAGTAAAATGATCATCCCAGGATCTAGCTAATGGCAAGTTCAGGACCAAGTTCAAATATTTGATAACCAAATTCAATGCCCTACTATATACTACGTTAGACTGTGTTGCATTAATTCCTTTGTTCTTTGAAGATTAAAATACTATCTTGCCTATACTGTTATATTTCTTCTATTATTGAAATTTCTAAGTACAAAGGGAAAATAAATTGTCATTGACTTTGACTTATGTAATGTCAGAAGAACCTTAGCAATGGAAGCTGTGAGGAAAAAGTAAAGGATTACCGATTATGGAAATTTCCAAGCATGAAATTAAGATGGAAAACTCAAATATTAGATTTGATAAGAAATAGTATAAAGCTATATTAGTGACTATATATTATCAGATTCTGGCAAATACTCTGAAGGTAACATTTGTCAATGGTTAATTTTTTAAAAACTTACCTCCCTCAAAGATGCTAATTTGGCAGTGTTTCTACTCAGGAAATATCCTGGTATGTATTAGCATGAAGTTTAGAAAGGTCCCTGAGAGATAATACTCCAAAACAAGTTGTGGAGCAAAACTATAAAGGCAACAACTCAGTCTGTAACTATATAGTAGCGGGGAAAAGTTAGAACACAGCAGCAAGTTTGGCTAAGAAAAATAAATATAGAACTAGTCTTTCTTTCAACTAGCTTTCTGAAGATCAACTAACATGAATGTCTCTCCTTGGTACCTTGTCTATGACACCATCATGCTCTTCAGAATGATGACTATTACTTACAATTCTCTTGCACATCACAATTTTCAAAAGCATTCCGTTTTATGTTCACAACAATGTTGTATGACAGTATCATTTTACAAGTGAAGCAATTGGTTTTTGATGAGATAAAA